ACTTAACAGATGAATAGCTAAAAGAATTTAGACCATATGTGGTTGTAAACGGCTCAGGAAGTGATGAAATATTGGTGCCCCTTAGGGAGTAAGCAGTAGATCTTAGCTTGATCAGTTGTTTCAAATAGCACGGATATTTACCAAGATGGAGACAGTTGAATATACAAATCATCATATTTTGTATCCTCCTGTTGGCTAAACCACACACACCCTCTAAAAGATCATCATAGTTCGAGTCCCAGTCCTTTAAAACAAATCTTAAAATACGTCTATTTAAGGTGTCCAGTTTAACAGAGTCCTCTGAATTACAAAAGTGCCATATCATTGAACAGTAGTGAAAATGGGGTAACATAAACGTTTTATAAAGGCGAAGCATAATTTTGGTAGAAATAAGTTTGCTAAATCTTTTGAAGACACTGAACTGATTATTTATTTTTTTACATACAGAGGATATGTGTTCCTTGAAATTAAGTTCATTATCAAGAATTATTTAAAAAAGTTCCAGGCATCTTGTGGTTGAGAAGGAGAAAGGGTAATCGGTTTTTGCCAAGGACCATCCCTTGATGTTTAGCGGGGTTGGCTTTCATCCCATTGTCTTCGAACCATTTGTTTGCTATTTGTACATCATGATTGATCCGCTGTTCCAAGGCTACTGGGTCTACGTCAGATGTGTGTCGTTGGCAGTCATCAGCATAAGTGTTTAGTTTTACAGACTTAATGTGAAAGATGAGGTCATGGAGGAACATGTTGAAAAACATGGGTCCCAGGACGCTGCCTTGAGGCACGCCACGCTTCACGCTCATCCAATCCGAATAGGTATATATCACCAATTTTCACTCGCTGCATTCTATCCAGCCATCTATGATGGCTAAATGCAGTGTGATAAATGCGCCTGGAACTTACTTAATACATTCTCCTTCACTGGTGAGAAATTTTCTTGTGCTGAATGCTTGAGGAACTTGTTATTCAGGTAATAGTAAACAAAATTGAAAATATCATCAGATTGCATAGATAAGGTAGCTTGACCACAGATCGAAACCTCCTCAGTAATTTTGGTAATGAGGTCGTTGGAATAAACAAATTGATTTCATTGACTCTTGACGAATGAATGACACTATTGGTTACTGTATCATACACCTACGCATACTTGTTGCGGCAAAAAGACAGGCGACAAAAAGGACTTCTTTCGGCCATCGATGCATTTTGTCATCGGGTGCACCTTGGTGCAAGTTCATATTCTCCGGCACAAACAGTACTCTTTGTTACCGAGCTCTTAGCTTAAACGGTCGAAAAGTCTGAGATAAACTTGATAAGCAAGGAAGTGGTAGCTTATCTAAACTGTTTAAGTGTTTTTCTGATGTCTTGAAACATATCCCTTAGCAAACATGATCGCCAATGGAGCAGAAATGAGTGGGTAGAAGGGAAAGCAACTATGTTTCGAGGAAAAAAAAACGACTTGAGGCGAGTCTGGGAATTTTTGTCTCGTTTACATTTCAGCAGAAAGTCAAACGACCATTCGATCGGGTTATAATGGTATACTCTCTAAGCCATATTGACGTAAAGGTTTATACTTGTTCTCAAGGGGCTCTCATATTTTTCTTAAAATTGTGACGGAAATCGTTTGTCATGCCTTTAAACAGTCAACTGAAGGAGTGTTTTATATTGATTTGCTGCTTGATATTTGCACTGGCTTCAGTTCAGAATTTAGTGAAGTGAAAGTAACACACTGTCTAGCAGCAAAGCCACTCAATAAAAGGAAGTAACAGCCTTTCAGCTGCCACCATTTTCCTTTTACAGTGTTCCAGTTAAATGGAAACTTGGCTTAACACACAAAAATCTTTATCTAACAAGCAGGTCAATTGTGTAAGGAGAAGCAATCCTGTTTCAGTTTCCGGCCTGAGTGAATAAGCAAAGTTTCGTAAATAAATTCACTGTATCAGTTTCCTAACAAAGCAATGATCACGGTTCATCTTTTAACAATGAAACTTCCGCAGGATTTTTTCTTACCGATCAATGCACGTGACCCGCATGTGTTTTACTGGTATCAATAATATTGAGCAATATAATATTATAACCGTTACATTCTGCCAAACTCAGCAGTAAGCACCCGCAAATCCCAGTTAAGATTTCTTGAAAATTCAAAATAAAAAAAATGTCATCAAATCGAAATTGATTCCTCAAGGGCCAAACTTCATGGCTCTGAATAATACTACTGAATCTACTGAATCTACATAACCTGCACAGAAGAAAATGCATCATCTAACAGATAAGTCGTTAGCTTATTATTAATCCATGCTACCGGTGTGTCCCATCCTATACCCATACGTTTTAAGCCACAAGGTCAGTCAAGGAACCGGCTGTTTTAGGATCTTTCCTCATGACTTGAACTCTTGTATCTCACTGATTAAAATACTTAATGTAGCTCGGTGCAAGTCCACTCAGAGCCTAAAAATAATGTCTTAATCATGTTGATTTCGTCATGTCAATGCGCCATTCTTGGAATCTCTTATTAACTATTTATTATTAAAAATATTGATCAGGACCATTGTTATGTTAAGCAACTGTTGCAATATCAAAGAACAAGTATATGCAAATATAGGTCCTAAAGGAACAGCCTTTTTAACTCGTGAATTGCGCGCATGCGCAAGA